CGACGACGACGACGACGATGACGACCACGACGATGACGACGACGACGACGACAATGACGACGATGTGACGCCGACGACGACGATGGCAGCGACGACGACGATGGCAGCGACGACGACGACAATGACGACGACGACGACGGCGACGGCGACGATGGCGATGACGACGACCACGACGACGACGACGATGGGGACGACGACGACGACGACAACGACGACGATGGCGACGACGACGACGACAATGACGACGACAATGACGACGGAGACGACGAAACGACGACGACGATGGCGATGACGACGAGGACAACAACGAGGATGAAGACAACGACGACGATGACGACGACGACAATGACGACGACAATGCCGACGATAAGGACGACGACGACGATCACGATGGCGACGACGATGGTGACGACGACGGTGACGACGACGACGATGGCGACGACAATGGCGACGACAATGACGACAATGACGCCGATGACGGCGACGATGGCGATGACGACCACCACGACGACGACGACGACGATGGCGACAACGACGACGACGAAGACGACGACGACGACGACGACGACGATGGCAACGACGACGAAGGCGACGATGACGACGACGACGACGACGACGATGGCGAAGACGACGACGACGCTGACGTCGACGACGACGACAATGACGACGACAATGACGTCGACGACGACGACGACGATGACGACGACGACGACGACGAAGATGACGACGACGACGACGATGGCGACGATAACGACGCCGACGACGACGATGGCAGCGACGACGACGACAATGACGACGACGACGGCGACGGCGACGGCGACGATGGCGATGACGACGACCACGAGGACGACGACGATGGCGACGACGACGACGAAGACGACGACGACGACGATGGCGACGACGACGACGACAATGACGACGACATTGACCGGCGGAGACCACGAAACGACGACGACGATGGCGATGACGACGACGACGACGACAACGACGACGATGACGACAACGACGACGATGATGACGACGACGACAATGCCGACGATAAGGACGACGGAGACGACGACCACGATGGCGACGACGATGGCGATGACGACTGTGACGACGACGACGATGGCGACGACAATGACGACGACAATGACGACAATGACGACGACGACGGCGACAATGACGACGACGGCGACGATGACGATGACGATGACGACGACGACGATGACGACGACGACAAAGACGACGAGGACGACGAGAATGACGACGACGAAACGATGGCGACGACGACGACGACGACGCGGACGTCGACCACGACGACAATGACGACGACAATGACGACGACGACGGCGACGATGGCGACGACGATGACGACGACGACAATGACGACGACAATGACGACGACGACGACGACGACGACGACGACGACGGCGACGATGGCGACGACGACGACAACGACGACGACGACGATGACGACGACGACGAGGATGACGACGACGACGACGACGACGACGACGAGCGAAGGGGGAATGTGGTACGCGAAGAAGAAAAAGGGATGACGACAACGCCGACGACAACGACGACGATGACGACGACGATGTCGACGACGTCGACGACGACGACCAGAACTTGTCATCGTCATCGTCGTCGTCGTCGACCTCGTCGTTGTCATCATCGGCATAAACATGAAACTGTTGGCGCTCCGCGCTGATTCCTAGGATCTGCGCTGGTCCCCCTGGCGGCGCCTCCAGGGAGGGGGGTCAGCGCAGATCCAAGAGGTCTGCGCGGAGCGCCAAAATTTTGCAGCGTTATGCCGCTGTTTCTTCTTCTGGGGAGGCCGTGCTTGTGGCGGGGAGGAGCAGCGACACCACCACCAGGGTTACGTCGGACCCGTCCCTCTACAGGAGGAGGATTTAAAAATAATCGAATAATCAAAAATAGTCTGGGGTACATTTTCTGATAATTTTCTTAGAGGGCATTTTTTAATTTGTTCGTCGACAATCCCCCTGTAGGGGGGACACGCCCGACTTAAAACCAGGCGGGCCACCTCCGGCGAGGAGGTCCACGGTGCATACCCCTGAGCTGGAGAGAGGGAATGTTTCGAGCGGCGCTGGGGGACCACGCCGCCAGGGTTAAGTCGGGCGTGTCCCTCTACAGGGGGACTATTCAAAAATAGTTAAAGTATACTCTGGGGACGATGTTTGACTATTTGTTTGACTATTTGTGGGGATCTGTTTTGAATGCTTTAAATTTTTCGCCCAAAACCCCCCTGTAGTAGGACACGCCCGAGTTCACACCAGGGGGGGCCCCACCTTGGCCCTTCGCGCTGGTGGTCCCTGGTGGTGGTGGTGGCGGTGTTCCTTGTGCCTAGCCTGGTTTGGTTCGACACGCAAAAGGCAAGTTTGTG